TTTTCACCAGACCCAGCCCACAACCAGCACATCCCGGCCCCTAATCACCACTTTGGGAATGAAGCCAACCCCTTCATTTGACTGATGAAGAAACTGAATGCTGAGCTGTAGGAGGAAGCCTGCAGAGCCAGCAGCCAGCCCACAATTAAAACCCCCCACTTCCTACTCACAGGGCACAGGGAATCAGAATTCTACCCTGAGTAAAGAAAAACCAAAGGGTTTACTGAGCAACTACTAGGTGCTAAGTGCACATAAGACACCTCAGCAGAGGGCCTTCATCCATAACTACAAAAATGAAATAATGAAGTGTGGGAAAGGACATCACCATCGCCAGATCACAGAGGAAACCTCATTGAGATTGGGCCCTGATCACCTTTCGTTCCTGGCGTCCCCCAATTTTGTACAGCAGATGGGACAAGAAAACATTTTCCTATGCAGGAACAAAATGTAAAGGAACTCGGACACAGGCTAGACCTTCATATATGAGGGGAGGAGGAAGGAATCCAGAGAGAAGGAGCTCTGTGCAATCGAGAACCTCCTAGTCCAGACAGTCCATGGAAAGAGTCTTAAATTAGAAGCCAGGTTCCCTCCCAGGTAGTTTTCTTAACAAGTGAGGACAAGGGAGCATCTGGCCATCTCCCAGGTCATTAAGTGATCAAATGTGTGAGAAGAAGACGACCCAGAGAAGGACCACACCCCCACTCCATACAACATCATCAGCACCCAATGGGGGCTGCAGAAGGCTGGGTCTTCAAGGGTGGCGGTGGACTTCCTCCTAGGTAGACAGGACAAAGTGAAGAGAGCTTTGAGTTTGGTAGAGCCCAAAGCTGAGTGAGGCAGGGACCCAGGACAGTGACAGAAGCTGCGTGACTAGAGGCTCCAGGGCAAGTGGCAGTGCAGGAAAAGTCAGATGGAAACCAGGATGCAGAGGGGTTCTTAGATGCCAGCACTGTGACCAAAGATGATACTGGGATTTCTTCTGAGTTCAACGCAGGTGCCGCACAAACTGGCATTGCCCAAGTGTAAGGACCTGTGTCTCCTTCAACTTTTGAGAGTGGTCACCTTCTCCTGACCAAGGTAGACTACTCCTGGGCAGGGTCTTCGTGACTTTGCCGCCTGCTAGCTCCCTCTGGCCATGTACACCTTCACAATGGTCACAGAGCTTCAGGCTGTCATACAGAGATCTTCCAGCCCAAGTCCCTTATTACTTCTGTGAGATGTCACACAGAGGGGAAGTCACCCCATGCGTTTCTGTATCCTCAAGTAAAAAGTTCAAAGGTTTGACCACTATACCTCACCCCTGAACCTTATCTCTGGGATCTTTTCTACTTATACATTCCATATATTATCAGTGCCTCAAGTCATTTATTGTGCAAATAGCTAGCAATTAAGAAGAGGACCACAGGCAGAAGGTTCAGCTGATATGTTTGGTTATACAACCAAAGTAAAGGTACTTTGGACTTTGGTGTAGCCAGGTTTGTAGCCCAAGGCTCTTGAGATAACAGTACAAAAAGAAGCAACAGTAATTAAGAGCACAGAGTGCTATTAGTACAGGAGCACTCTTCACTTCACAAGTCTCGGTGAAGAGACCTGGGGTTAGGAAGGCTGCAGTGGGAGCTCTACCACTAACAGGGGACTGGATGACTCTGGATGCATCACCTCCCCTGCTGGGCCTCAGCTTCCTCATCTGTGATGTGAAAGGTCTGGATGAGAAGCCACAGGGCTCTCCCAGCTCCAACAGGGCAAAAGGAAATTAGAGGAAGAGTCACTCAGTTTTTAGAAGAAGGTGACCATCCAGTGCTGGCATGAGGATGTCCCCAAATCAAAACACCTCAAGTCCTCTTTCAAACCCTCAGCAGTCACGGGCAGAGGGTGCAAAATGGCCTGACGAAGCATTTGTTTCTAAGTGGCTTTGTGATTTGTGGCTGACATTGCAAAGCCTGCGCAGGAACAAGATGGGAACTGATGAGCTGGTCGGCCATCCTCGCCTCCCTGGCCTCGCTGAATCACCCTTGACATTCTGCCTGGAAGCAAGGGCTTGGAGGAGGTGAGTGACCTCTTCGAGTCTTTAGGCCAGGCCTGTGATTCTGCAATCTTCTCTTTACCATAATTAGGGACGGAGGCAGAGGAGTGGGAGGAGAAACCATTTATTACTTCTCTGGGGTTTGACAGCTTGGAAAAAGAACAAGAGGCAGAGAGAGACACAGCCCGGAGAGGAGCCAGCCACGGTGAGTTTACCCTCTCAGTAAAATAAAAATGGGTTGGACGCACCTTATCAGCTGCCCTCTGTCAATACAGGGCCCATTTGGCAGAACCTGTGGTTCCCAACTAATAGGCATTTCCCATGGCGGTGGTGGTAAGAGGATGTGTGTGCGAGGGAGCAGACGAAGGACCGCCACACTTCCCAAGGTGCTAACTCTGGAGATCATCTATTATATAAAAAAGTACAGGCAGTCCTTACCCCCAGCCCTGAACTTAAAGATGAAGAATCCAGCCTGTTTGTTCCAGGCAGATGTAATCACACGAACAGTCAAGTCTAGAGGGCAGGACACTGCATGAATAATTCAAGCACTCCAGTCACTTGATTGTGTGTGCAGATAAAACACCAGTCAACCGCTAAACAGGTCAGCTGATAAACTTGTTTGCTCAGGCCTAACCACCATCCGCCAAATGCACCCAAGACCCACACTACAATTAGTGGCCCGGTTTTCTTCTGCAGAAAGCTTGCAAGCCCAGGGAGTGGCCAGCCCCATTAGGTCAGGGTTGCACTTCTCAGCAGAGGTTTCTTCACCTCCTTGTCTCTTTGTCCCTACACAGCCGCAGGGTGATTTCACCCAACTCAGAGATTGCCATAAACCCTGCAAAGGCACGGCATTCAGAACACGCACATTCTTGCTGGGAAGCAAATGGGAACTGAAGCTGGAAGGCAAAGCTGAGGCCAGAAGGGTGAAGCACCAGGCTGGAAATCCAGAGGCGCAGATCCGAGTCCCAGCTCTGCCCTCTTAGCGTCCCTGAAGCCTCCTTTCCTGGCCTATAAAAGAGGACAGAGAATCCATCTATCTGCCTCTGGCAGCTGACAGGATTAAATGAGTCGATGTAGCCAAACCTCAGGCATTCTCCCCCTAAGAACCCTGTTTGGGGAATGGCCAGAAGCCCCAGATGCACACAGCTGCTCTTTATGAAAACCCTACCACCACCAAATGCATTAAGGTGGTTAACTCTTCCTGAGTTCAGTGTCCTCAGGACTCTGGGAACAGCTTTGCTCCACCAGCCAAGGTGGATTTTCTCTGCCAAAGAACCCTTCACTCACAGACACAGGAAGGAACGCCACCCATTCAGACCTCAACATGCAACAACATATTGCACCTTAATTATGAAGCTCTTAGAATAACTGCTGCTATAAATTTTAAACCTGGGTACAATTACTCTCTTTAAACACACCCAAGGGGAAAAAAAAAGAAGTTGGAAAAAGGGAGGAGGTGGCACCTTGCATAACACCCCAAGGTACATGAACAGCTGGGACCCCAGTTCCACCTCATGCAATCTTATCACACCAGTCGGAACTGGTTAGTTCCACCTCAAGTTGGGCTGAACCATTCTGCCCAGAAGAAACATCTTTACATACAAAGCAGTATCTGTTTATGATTTCTGCGTGCCTTCCTAAAGAGCTAATCCCTCAGGAAGCCACAAGCTGGCTTCCCACATTGCTCAGTAAACTCAGGCCCCTTTCTGGCTGCCCTTCACCCAATATTGGGGCTCCCCCCAGGAGGAGAAAGGAAACTGCAGATTGACAAGGCTCTCTATAAGCCACTGGAGCAGGCAGGCATCTCGGAGCATTCCAGAGGTCACCTGCCCTTTTCACCTGCCCTGGGTCCTACCCCCTAAAAGAGTGAAATTGAAACCTTGTAAACGACTGTTAATTTACAGCAGAAAATCCATTCAAGTCATGGTCACCAAAGGCTAGCATGAGTCAACAGCCTTCTGAGATTTCAAGAACAGCAATTGTTAAAAAGAACAACAGGCCTGAGCCATTTATACATGCCAACACTAATCACTGGCCAAGCCAAATTATAGGCAGCCTCTCCTTGGAACACAAATACACAAACAGGCCTCTTCCACAGCCCAGCCTAGCACCAAGGACTACTTACTGATATGCACCCAGATAAAGGGTGTTTGTATTTGCTCAGTTTGAGGTATACTGTTATTAGAAGAGTGACAATATGAGGTAGTTTACATATCCATCAAGCAGCACCACACTAGCTAAACTGGTTTGACTTCAGGATTTCAAAGGTGAGCTCAGCTCCCAGTCATCTCAAAAGTCTTGGCCAGGCTGCCCCTGGCAAGTTACTTCACCTCTCCTGTTCACCTTCCTTCTCTGTAAAATGGGAAGGAGGCTGCCTTCAATTAAGAAGAGATGAGAAAGTTCCCTCATAAATGCAGAGCATTGGGATTTTACTTCGTTCCAGTTATATTTTTATGCAGTTAGTGACTTGTTCCCTTTGAGTTTTGACAGCTCAGCTTAGCTTTTAAGGCTCTTGAAGTTTAATCTTATCAAGGCAGAAAGAACATCACATTTTTGCACGTGCAGGCCACACACATACACACACACACACACACACACACACACCACACACACACCCTCCCCCATTTCCTCTTGAGAATTTTACATTAAATCAGATGAAGGTAGCCAGCCACCTCCGGGTTTCAGGAGTTCTAAAGCAGATCCTGAAGGTACAACTTTCCCATTGCTTGTTTATCCTCCACCAATATCTGAGATAAGCACAAATTTCACAAGCTTGAATGCTCAATGTTCAAGAAATCAGCAAAGCCTCAGACCCTGTATTTCAAGGACTGGCTCCATTCACTCTTCAAGGAGAAGTAGGAGGCAGAGAAAAACTAGGCTCATTTTCAAACAGGAGGGACCATAACAAACCATGTATTATATAACTTTTTAAAAATTATGTGTGTGTATATATATTTTAAAAGAGAAAAGTACTTACCTGCTTGTGCATTTCAATGTTCAAGCCATAGGACATCTCATAGTACTAGAAGTGAAAAGAACTGCCATTAACAGACAACACAGAAATCTCTCCATTTTCCTAAATCAGCTTTTGGGAAGGTTTTGGTCAAATCGTACTTTCATAATACATTTGCTAAAGTAGAGTAAATCAAACCCCAAAGCTAGTAATAGAATGGTTTAAGGGCTGAACACCAGTGAGTGGTGTTCTCTACAAAACATTATACATCCAGTAGTCAGAGAAACTGGGCCCTCCCTCCCTCCCTCCCTCCCACAAGCACCACATGTGCCATATATCCTGTTTATACAAGGTTCAGGTTCAACAGGGAATCGTGTGTACACTGGGACCCTCTTGTCCTCTGAGAGTTATTTAGAAACGTGTCGAAGGCCTCTTATGTGGAAAGCAGTGCAGGGAGCCGCTTAAGTGCCTTCCATGCCCTCTCACAGAGGGATGATGTAAACTGACTGGAACAGACGCTGGGAAAAGGGGAGAATGGCCATCTACCGCCCCAGGGCTGATAAGATTCTCAGTTGGGAAATCCCTAAGAGGGCAGTGGAGGCTTTTCCTCCACACTCAGAAAGGTCTGGGGAAGGAAAAAGGTAGGGGAGAGGACTTACAGCCCACTCTGGCTACATCCCTGGGCTGCAAAGTTTCCAAACATTCCCAGGAGGGCTTTAAGGGAGATTATTATCCAACCCTTGATGTGGGCTAATCGAGCCCTGTCATACTTGCCAAGATAGGGCAACCAGCCCTCTGGGAAACCTTCAAAATATGAACTAAAGGTATCGCAGAAGTGCCGGGCCTGGGGTTTGGGTTTCTCTTTCCTGCTCCTCCTCCCAACCACCCTCCTCCAGCTGGTCCTTGGGGAAATCGGCTGCAGTCAGCCTCCCTGCCAGCTCTCCAGCTCGCCAGCCCGCCAGCCCAGCCCTCATCGCCTCTCACCATCACATAATGGCGTTGCATCTCCGTCTTCTCGTTCGCCAGCTTGTCGTACTCCACTTTGAGGCTGCAAGGGCAGGAGCAGCAGGCTCAGGCCTGGGGCCTACACAGCCTCCCTGAGCCGCTTTTCCACTTCTCTGTCGCCCCTCGAGGTACCCCACTACCCCGCAGCCTCTGATGGAAGGGAGTTAAACAACTAAAACTTCCCGCGGCCGAGCGAGAACACTGATACGGGCCACAGGGAGGCAGGGCCCTGACGCTCGCTCGCGACCCCCAGAATCCGAGGCGAGCAGGCCCAAGACCCTGATCCTCACCCCAGGGAGCCGGCGGGCGCGGCGGGGAGCCCGGAGACTGCGGGCAGCGAAGGGTTAAGGCGCCGCGCCTGGAAAGGGGAAACAAAAGGCGGAGGCCCGTCTGCCCCGCCGCCCCAAGGTCGGGAGCCCCCACCGTCCCCGCGGGGGTTGGCAGGAGCCAAGGCGGGGACGCCCCCTCCCCATGAGCCCCGGGGCGGCCCCCAGCGGTCTTACCTGTGATATTGAGCTTGCAGGAACTGGAATTCGTCTTTGATCCTGTCACAAGACTCAGCCACCGTGAATTTAAATCCCGGCTGCCCGGGTTGATGGGGAGCCTGGCGCCCGTGAGGACAAGACAGGAAGGGGGAAGGGGACAGGGGACTCAGACAGGGCTCCAAGAGCCCCGCGCCTCTGGCGGCTGCCCCTAGCTACCCTACCCCACATCCCCGCCCCACCAGAATGGCCACCCTCTCAGCCCAAAACCTTCCCGGCAAGTTTCTCATCTCCCAGACCGGGCAGGAGGGGGGCGCCCCAACCCCTCCCTGTTGGCTGCAGGGCTCCCATCCCTTTCAAAAAGGGGCCCCCTATTCCCAAATAAGATGGGGGTGGGGGAGACACGCGGCTGAGTTGGGAGACTTAGGCGAAGGAGCAGCGTACAGCGTGAAAAACAAACAGGTCCCCAGGAATACTGGCAGGCCCCCGCCACTCGGGTAGAATGAGCCTCCTCTCTCAACGGCGCCCCCCCCCCCCACGGCCCCTTTGTGTGAGCGCGCGCGCGCGCACACAAACACACACACACACACACACGCACGCACGCACTCACACACACCCCAGAAAGGTAGCAACAAGCAAAATGGAGGTGCCAGATAAACTGCCTCGTTTACCCAGCCATGATAGATGCTTAAATAAACCGAGTTGCAATTACTCACCGGATGTCTGCCTTGCGGATACATGGCAGGGAGGGGTCGTGATTCCGAGAGCGTAGAAGCGCCGAGAGCCCGGGCCGGGGAGGTGCGGGGGAGAGGGGAACCAAGCCCGAGCGGGGGGCGGCGGGCAAACCGAGAGCTCGCCCCCGGCCCCCCCAGCCCGCTCTCGCAGCGAAATCCCAGAGTCAGGCGCCCACCCCAAGCAAAGACAAAGAGCCGCGGAGTGGGCGGCAAAGTCGTCGGCGGGCGCCGAGGCCGGGTGGCGGGCGCGGGCTTTGTGAGCCTAGGGCTCGGCGGGCTGCGGTCGGCAGCCTTCCCCAGGCTGCGTGGAGCGCGTCAGAACCGGGAACTGAGCGAACATCGTCTCCTCCCCGGCGGGTATGGCGCAGGGTCCCGAGGCCAGAGCCTCTTCTGGGGCGAGTGCGGGCCCCCTCCAATCACTCAGGTGGGAGGGGGACGCGCCAGGGCAGCCCCAGCATTCGCGGCGCGCGGGTCCGAGCCCAGAGGTGGCTGTCGGCTTGAAGAGGAAGAAGGCCGGCTCTGAGGTAGCGGCTGGGGGCCGCAGAAGCTCCGGAGTGTGAGGGCGGGAGCCGGGCGCGGGCGCTCCGACGCCCCCCCTCGGAGAGGAGAGCCTGCTGTTCCGTCTGCTACTGCTGCTGCCGCCGCGGCCGCCAGCCCTTCCCAGGGCCGGGCCGAGGAAACTCCGGCTCAGTGGGTGCAAAGCGGCCGACTTGGCATCCTAACTCCAGCGGGCACAGGAAGCCTCCGCAAAGGGGTCCTCGCTGTTCCCTGCTCAAGCGCCGCGTCTCCAACCAGGAGCGCTCGACGCCGCCTCCGCCGCCTCGGAGAGCGCAAGCAGGAGAAAGAACGCCAGAGGGGAGACGCAGCCCGACACTCGGGAGCTCTGCGGCTTCCTTCCTTCCTTTTGGCTCCGCTTAGCTCTTCGGTCTGCACCCCAACAAACCCCTCAAACACACACCACACACACATACACACACACACGCACACACGCACACACACACACCAAAAAGTGCCCCGGACCTGCGGATACCACACACAGACAGACAAGGGGGGACGAGCACGAGGTCTGAACTGCCGCGAGAGCAGTTCCAAATAGGGACTGAAAAGTAACAAAATAATGTGGCAGCTCCGCCCCGCGCTGGCCAATGGGAGCGCAAGGCCCCCACGTGGGGCCACCGGGCTCGGCCTGCGACTGGGTGCCGCCGGGCGCAACGTCACAATGCCCTCTTGTGTCTAAAACTATGCATGAAAAGTAGCAATCAGGCCCTACCCGCTGGTGACTTTCGCATGGGAGTGAAAAACAGCGCTCCTCAGATCAGGAATTAACCGAAAGGCATATAATAAATAGATATATATTATAGTCCTGGGCTGCAAGAGTTTTTTCCACTTCTTTTCTTCCCCCCACGATCAACTAGCAAATAACTATTTGTTGGGAGGGGGAAAGCGAGAAGACAAGAATAAAAACAAAAGGAAGAAAAAGACGAGCTGTACAGTCCTCAAAACCTGTGGCTGGTGTAATGTATCAGTTTATTCTGCAGTGGCGGCAAACGATTCCTCTCTTTAATCTCATTAGGTCTGCAGAGCAGCCCAATTAGATACTATATAAAACAAAATCACTTTGTCACTTTAATGTTTTCACTTCACAAGATTTAGGACGAAGAAAATGGTGGCTCCCAAAGTTGCATCCCACCTTAAAAAATATGCTCGGAACTGAGTGTGTCCCTTTCTTTACTCCTCCTCCTGAGCACCCCCACCACCTATAGCCCCCAGCTATTCTTTGTTTAGCCGTCCTTCTTTTCAGAAAGCCAAATAAACATTTCTTTGATGTGCGGCGGATGCCTGCGAAGAAAAATCTGGGCAACTCTGGCTCCGAGGGCAGTGCAAAAGGAAGGGCTCGGCTGCCCGCGGACAACCGGCTCAGTTCGCGCCGTCCCCATTCGGAGCCCTTTCCTGGTGGGAACTGCGACGCCCTGACCGCAGCTCCTCACAGGTTGCCGAGGCCTCGGGAGCGGAGTAGGGAATGGGGTGGCGGCCCTGCCCCGCCCCGACCTGGGTGCTCCGAGTTCCGCCTCGGTTTCCTCAGCCTGTCGTGCGAGTGTCACAGCGTCGGCGCAGGACCTGTGGCGGGGCGCGCGTGCAAGCTTGTGAGTGTGACGGCCGCCAGCCTCCAAGCCCCGGGGGCCGCAGGCGCTCACCCGTCCCCGCTCGCGACTCCCGGACTATCCGCAGCAGACCACTCAACTCCCGGGACAGTTTGCCCGCAGATAGTATAGCTTTCAGGCGCTCGGGGTTACGTCAGGGCGGACACACCACAGGGAAGCAACTCCCGAACGGCTCGGAGGCCAGAGCGGCCGCACCTTAGACCCCGCGGGCGCCTCCGCGTGGGCGGGCCCAGGTGGTCCCCGGTCTCTCTCCAGCATCTCCGCCAACTCGCAAGCATCTCAGGTCAGTGGCGGGCGCCCCCGCCCCCGGATCTATACTTTCCCCTCATTAGGAGCCGAGTTCGCCTGTGCATCTTAATGAGGAGCTGCTAGCGAGCTGGTGCTCGGAGGCCGGTGCGCAGGGAGTTACACGTGAGCGCCCGCCTCGGAGCTGAACTTCCCTGCGCCTGCTCTGGCCGCCCTCCCCGAGCAGCGCTCCTCTCTTCATTTATTTATTTTCCTAAATAAAAACATAAATCGTGAGCGGCCCGCACGGAAGGGGAGGGTGAGGAGAAGCCCGGCTCGACAGATGCGAGAATCTGGCCGCAGCATTCATTAGACACAAAATGGCTCCTCTTTGGAGCTTCCTTTTTCCCCCTCCCCCTTTTCTGCCCTCCCCCTTACGTCACGGGTGGGCGCACCCGCTTTCTACCCGCCCCGCCTCTTTCTCGCTCCTGCCCCCACGTGGGGGCCGCCAGCCCTGTCCCCAAGCAAGAACCGAAAGACCAATCAGAGGCCGCCTAGGGGACTCTCCATTACTGATTGGTGGAGCTGCTGGGAGCTGTCAGTCCGCGCCGGAGCTGTCAGTCAAAACCACGCGGGGTGGGGGAGCGCTGACAAATGCGGAGGCTTCTGAGCCTCCCGCTTGCAAATAGTGCTTGGAATGGCTGCTTAATTAGCTTTGAATGGCTTTTCCTTCCAGCTCAAACAATCTGTCACTACCATGTGGTATAAAGGAGCCATGCATAAAAAAGTAAGCAGAGGCTAAATATCAATTTGATTTTGTGTATCAAAGGAATATTTTATTTTTCTCCCTAGTAATGAAACGTATCAATTTAAATAATAAAAGGTAAAACACACACACATACAAACCAAATAAATAAATAAATAAATAAATAAAATGAGGGAGAGAGAGAAAAAAGAAAAACACCCAAACTCCACGGTTCCCAGTCTCCTGCGCTCGCCTGAAACAGGTAATTTCTACGGCCGGTGTGCAAAGAGGAAGACTGAATATCGCCTCCGCTCTTAAACTTGCATTAAGTGTTTTGTTGTCCAGAAGTCTAAAAGGAATGGTGGGGGAGGGGTGGCCTGTAAAAAGGGAGTGGGGGAGGGGAGGGGAGAACTTTAAAGCGATCTCTTTGAAGCCGCTAATCAAAGTGGAGGGGGTTTTAAGACCCCATAAACTGGGGATCCCACAGCAGGTCTCGATTTGGGAACCTAGAGGAAAGGGGGGAGAGCGGGTACACGTCTCGCCCGGATTTATTAAACACAATGCCTTCAAGATGCCGGACTCGGCGCCTCGTCAGGCTCCCAGTTGCCGTCTCTCTCTGGACTGGCTCAAACAGCGCACGCCCGCTTTCGGCCTTTGAGCTCTGGCCCCATAGCCAGGTCTACGCGGAAAGTGGACAAAAGAAGACAACAGCTCTGTCTCCGGTTCGTGGGTCGTTTCTATCCCGACGTCCATTCTCCTGGGGACCCCAACATCCAGGGCGCTCCTGTAGGTCAGACTCCTGTCGAGTTCACCTGTGAGCCTCAGCGCGAGCGCTGAGACGGGCACCTGAGGAGCCCGCGGTGGCTTATGAGGGTCGTGGCCAGGCTGTTAAGAATGAGAACTGCGCTGGAGTGCTTAACTGAGCAAGCCAGGGCACTGTTACCCAGCAGAGAACTCTAGTCTCACCTCTATCCCTAGCTGGTAGCGCCATTTTACGGAGTGGAGGGGAGGGAAGGAAAAAAAAAAAAAAAAAAAGCCGAGAAAGCTCAGTAATCTGCCCCAAGCTGGGCAGAAATGTCAGCATTCGAATCCAGAGCAGCCGACTCCGCAGGCAAACTCAGCTCTCCTTTTGCTTGCTGGAGCTGGATCCGTGAGAAGATTTGCTGAAGGAGAGGCATGCATTCATATTTATTCACTCATTCATCCACTACCAGCCCTTTTTGTAGGGTCACAGGCCCAGCTGCCCGCAGCTGGCTCCCAGTCACTCCGCAGCCAGAGTCAATTCCAGCTCTCCGGGCTGCCTGAGCCCGGAACAGGAGACGGAGGAGGAGGAGGAGGAGCAGCAGCGGGGAGGTAACTAACTAGGCCAGCACCCCTTTAAGCTTACCACCGCTTTACCCCCACTCCCATGCCACCCCACAAATCAAGAAAAACAAGGAGAAAAATAAATTTCTTTTATGCTCGAGAAAGAGAAAATAAAAAACATGTATACAACACACTGTCTAAAGCGCTTGACAATTATTTTTGAAGAAGGAGGGGAGTGGAGAGAAAGAGTTCAAACGTCTCTGTCTCCAGTTCTAATTGGAAACGTTTCAACTGTTTATGTTACAAGAAGTGTCAGGGTCATTTGCTACCGGAGAGCTGACTTTTCATTGGCTGCTTAATTGAGTACCTCGGAGTTCACCCCACGTGGGAGAGGAATTCCTGGCACAATAAAAGAGAAAAGAAAAAAGTCAGCCGGGTGAGACAGAAAGGCTGGCCTGGATTTCCAGAATGAAGACTTCGAATGCCTTTTGGGGTGCAGGGTGGTTGGTGGGCAACTGTTTGCCAGCTCCAAGAGCTGCTCCTCTGGTTCTTTAAAAAATCATTGTCAAACAGTTTAGATAAACATTAATAACTGTTTTCTTCCTTTTTCAGGAATTAAAGCATCTGGTTCAGGTCAGTCACCAGGCTGTGGCCTCCTATTTGAGGAACTGATCCCAGTGCCTTGGGTGGGGTTGCATCTCTTCCCTTACGGCCTCTTCTGGCTTTGGTTTTTTGGAGGTTTCTGGTAGGGACTGTCCAAAGAGAGGGTAAATCTCTCTTGACCACCTTTTTTTTTTTTTTTTTTTTTTTTACTCTAAGACTTCTCTGATTGTTGGCTGTTGACTCCACTGCTGGGACAGTTCTGTGCCCCCACCTTCACTCCCACAGCCCACCAGTCATCCCATGCCTTCCCCACAAGCAAGCACCTCACCATACAATGAGAGGAGAGGGAATTTTTACTTATTTAACCAACTCTTATGTAGTGCTTACTCTGTGCCAGGCACTGTTCTAAGCACTCAGCATATGTTAACAAACTGAATCCTCTCACAGCGAATGAAGTGGGTGCTATCAGTATCATGTCTGTTTTGCAGAGAGGGCAGTGGCAAATGACTTGCCCAGGGTCACTTCGATGGCTGATAGAATTGAACTAAGGTAATTCAGCTCCAGAGTTTTCACCACCATTCCCCACCGTCTCTGCAAACTTGGCTTTCCCGAAAATGCAGATCAGGTTTTTGGGACAGACCACAGGTCGCTGGAGGGCCCCAGGAAATCCCAAAGGTATCCCCTATAGAGCTTCCCCTGGAGCCACCTCATTTCAGGGAAGGCCACTGAGCTCTGAGAAGTCACAGGACCTCCCAGAGTCCCCCAACCTCGCTTCCAATTCTTTGGCTGGCCTAAGCTATGTGACCTTGGGGGACTTATTTAATCTCGCTAAGCCTCTATTTCCTCATCTATAAAGTAGAGATAACAATCCTGACTGCCTCAGAGAATTATTCTGAGGATCGATGAAGATAATGCATGTGATGCAGTCGGTAGAGAACCTGGTACATTAAGTGATCAAGAACAGATAGTGGCTATGATGATGATATGGAACAAGTGATTCAACTCCTCGCACATTTTCTGGGTGCTTGCAGAGAGAGGAAGGTC